AACCCTGGTGGTCTGGTTTGTGCAGTGCGACTCCTGACCGTTTGTTTAGTACTGCTTCCGGCGGTGTCCTGTTGTCCTAACCAACTGTACCTAGCCTAAGTTTTCACTGCACTGTCAGACCACAGTAAAAGGTCTGGCCGGTTGGGAGCCTGGCCTCGTCGGGACACCTCTGCATGCGCCTGGATGTTTACTGTGGAGGAGTTCCTCAACTGTATCCCTGCCAGACTCCCCTGGAAAGAGTCCACCCACGTGGAGGGCAGAGACGGAGGCACTTCCTGCACACGTGCACCTGTACGTGCAAGGCACACGCCCGTCTTATGCAGAAGCAAGGACGGCCTTCTTCAGCACTTGGGCTGCAGAAGCAAGAAGCCTGTCCCTGTGTGTCTTGGGTCCTGGGTGTCATACATAGCATGTGTCATGTAGAGGAGGCTGCAGCTGTGTGCAGGGGCCCTGACGTCCCTGTCTTTTCTCTTCGCTAGACCTTAAAAGTGAGGGGAGTGGACCGCACCCCCTACCTAGGGGACGTCGCCGTTGTTGTCCACCCTGGGAAAAAAGAGATGGGAACGCCCCTGGCAGACACCCCCACGCGGCCGGTCACCCGGCATGGGGGCATGCGGGACCTTCATGAATCCAGCTTCAGCCTTTCTGGTAAGGGTGAGGGTGTGGTGGGAGCTGGCAGGCAGGAGTGGGAGGCCCGGGCGGTGGGCTGCAGCCTGCAGGTCCTTCGTAGAGCCGGGAGGACATGCCGCGTGTGCTGTTAGAGACCTAGGCTGACAGCTGGGAGGACCAGGAGAGCTTACCAGCCGCTAGAGAGGCCACGGCCACCAGATGCTCTCCCTGGCGCTGTTTTTCATCCCCTGAAACACCTCGAAGACATTGTACACAGGGTACCCAGAAACATCCAGACTAGCCAGTGGCCTCTTCTGCCCCAGTCCAAGAGCTTGACACAGTAGATAGACCTCAAGTTGTCTGCCATCTCTCGTCCAGCCCCAAGTCTTAATCTGTTGGAAATGGGGAGCACTGAAGAATGCCCCCCTGTGATCTCTGGGACACTAGACCCTTCCTTCTGAGCCTCAGAATTCCAGAGGGTGGGACCTTTGGAGTGTGGGTATTTCATTTTCCAAAGTAGTTCCCAGCTTCCTGTTTTAGTCTCTGGCCTACTCACTGAGACCTGTGTGTGAAGGTCTGTGTGGTAACTGGCTAATCCCGTGGTCTAACAGCGCAAGTATGCCGTTCATGTGAGAGTGGGGATGCTCAGAAAGTAGGCTCTGAGTCAGGAAAACCCGGGTTCAAACCCAGGCTCTTCAAATCCCTTAGACTGTAAAAACGTGGAGATTGTATGATGGCCCTGAGCCCTGGTTTTCTCATCCAGACACTGGAATAGAGTCCTCAGGGTTAAATGGCCCAATTCCTGGGACCAGGGGAACGGCTCAGTCAGTAAAGCGTTTTTCTTGCAAACACAAGGACCTGAGTTCAATTCCGAGAAACCACGTTGAAAAAGTTAGGCATGGGCCGGCTCAGCAGTTAAGAGCGTGTACTGCTCATCCAGAGGACTTGGTTTCAGTTCCCAGTTCCCCAGCACTCACTGACCGCTGCCCGGCAGCTCACGGCCCCTAATTCCAGCGCCAGGAGACCCCAGCACCCCCTCGGGCACACGCACAGCTCCAGGCCCGTCTTAAAATAGGTGGACAGCCTTCTCTTAAGGGAGGGGAGGGGTGGGAGAGGTCTGAGCCTGGGTGGTGACAGGGGCCCTGTTAACCCAGGCAGCATCTGCGATGGTTGACCTTTCCTGCTTCCTTCCTGCAGGTTCTCAGATTGATGACCATGTTCCAAAGCGGGCCTCGGCCCGGATCCTCGCGCCCCCTGGAGGCCGGTCGAGCGGTATTTGGTAAAGGCTCTGACCAGCACCCCCCCAAGTGAGGCTGTTCCACCGTCACCCACCTGCGCACCTTCCGGCCACGGCTGCCGTGGGTGGGAGAGGCTGGGCAGGGCAGCGCACTACCAGTGGGGGCTCCAGGAAGCGGAGAGCCCTCCCCTTGTCTGAACATGATTCACGGGGCTTTGACCCGCCCCTAACGAGGCACTTTGAGCTGTCTGTCCCTCCTGCCCTGCTCCTTCCTTCCTCGGCCCACCCCCCGGGGTGTCTCTGGGCCCCAGAGACCACACTATGCACAGCACCCAATGCATATGCATAGCGCCCGGCCCCGCCCACCTCTCACCACAGCCTCCAGCGCTGGCTTCTGGGAAGGCCCGGACTTGAGTGCCCTGCCCCGCTGCCCACCCAGACAGGGGTCCAGAGCACTTTAGCAGATGTGTTTTATAAGTAAGGGCCTTCCCCCCACTCACCCCTTAGGTCCCATGGTGACATTTCCCAAGCCAGACAGGTGTGTCAGCTCCCCCAGCCGTGCCCAAGATGTCCCACGTCTCCCGACTCACCCCCTAGCCCTGTGTGGGTTCGGTCGGGACACCCTGGATGTGGCCGTGGTCGGGACACCCTGTGCCCTCTGCTAGCCTCTTTTCCACTCCCTACCCGCACCCTCTGGGAGTCTCGGGCCCCAGCAGGGTAGCTGGGTGGGCATGGGGCTGGTGCCAGGCGCGTGTAAATGGTTTTGTTTTGCACGTTCGGTTTGCGCAGTGGTTTGGTTTGACTTGTGTGTGCACCCTGTGGAAAATAACGGTGCTTCTTGTCGCTAGCATTAGCATAGAATCGGGAATAGATTTGGTTCTTAGGAGATGCTGCACTCGCCACCAACCAGACAGTACAGGGCAGGCGTGGGGGCAGGCTGTGCCCCTGGCCCCGTCCCTCCAATCCAGGGTCCTTCCTGCTACCAGAAGCCCTGGACCATGCCTCCCCTGACCCACACCCCCGCCTCTCGCCACACCCCCTCCTACTTTCCTCCATTCCGATGGTCCTGGACGCTGACCCTGGGAACCCCTTTCTCTCGTCCCTGCTCCTGATCTCTCCCAGCACTAACCCCACACCCATAACCCTCACACCCCTACACAGCTTCCCATAACTTGCCCCCTGCTGGTCAAGGCCTAGCTGCTCCTCCTGCGTGACTAGCAAGCGCCCCCCCCCCCCGTACCTGCTGAGGAGGGGGAGTAGGAGAGGATTGGCCGGCCAGCCACCAGGGAAGGGGCCGCAGCACACGAGGTCTAGCTGGAGAATCCACCCCACTGCTCAAGTGCTGGAGGGTCCTGCAGGATCCTGCACGCAACATCACGCTCTTGTCCACTACTGGTTTGAGCCGCCCTGTCTCAGAAGCTCCTCGGAGCCTCTCACAGGCGGCCACACAGTCGGAGAAGCCGACCAGCTGTTGGCCTTTGATAAGCCTCATCCCTCCCCCCCCACTTGGGAAGTGATCTCCCTTTTGTTTGAGCTCCCCAAACTTGCCAGAGGCCCCGGAGATCTTGGCACCCATCCCTGCACATTTTTGTAGTGCTTTGGGCGCATCAAAGCACTTCGTGTATCAGCTCTCACGCCTCCTGACGGTGGAATGCCTACCACTGTCCCCCAGCGTACAGACAAAAAAAAAAAAAAAAAAAAAAAAAAAGCCCAGAGGCCCCAAAAGTTAAGGCCAGCTGGCCCCAGAAGTGTCCACGACTGCCCTTATGACCTTGGCTGTCTCACCTAGCTGTGGAAAACAGTGGTCAGGCCCACCAGGAGTTTAACCAGAGAGAATGCTTTCTCCCTGGGGATGCATTCTGCCTTGCTTTGCACAAGTCGATTTTATCTTTATTGTGAGCAGACTAATGTATGCCCTTGGGTTGAGCCTGGACGAGAGAAGTGTTGGGAACCGGTGTGTGGTTTTCAGTTGCATCCTTATCCTGATGGACCTCACTTAGGAGCTGAAATGATAACCCAGAGAACTGAGGTAGCTGCGGGGAAACAGTAGGTAATGACCCTGGAAAAGCCTTCATGGGTAACAAAAACAGAAATACTGATCCCCTGGTACAGTCTTAGCCTCCCTCCTCCTCTTCTTTTTGAGACAAAGTCTTGCCTATGTAGCCTGGCCTTGAACCCACAGCAATCCTGCCTTGGTTTCCCAAGTCCTGGAATTACAGGCGCAGGCTGCCACGCCTAGCTACACGTCATCTTTGTCTGTTTCTGCCCTTGCTTGGTCATGGGCCTTGGGCAGGTGCCAAAGATCCGTGGGGTGGTAGGGCCGGCGAGGCTGGGCACCTTGGTTGGGCCAGGAAAGCTTTACCTGAGTGCCTCCACCCGAGACGTACGTGCGTGCGTGCGTGCGTGCGTGCGTGCGTGCGTGCCCTGGGGTGGTGGGAGAGTACGCATTCAAGGGGCTGCTGTGGGCCCTTCCGCTTCATCCGCCCCCACCCCACTACAGACCCAAGTCCACCCTTCCATAGACTGTGTGCTCACCCAGGAGCTTCTGGGTGCGAATCAGGAGGCTCTAGGAGCTGAACAAACCATCACCCCCCCCAGTGTCCACTCCCTGCCCCGTGCGGAGCTCCAGCCAACCCCATCACCGATCCGGGGGGGCTGCTGGCTGGAGCGAAAAGGGTCTCTGGTGGCACCGAATGCAGCGCTCAAACTGGTCTTGTACTTGCTGAATAAATACTCTTGTTCTTGCCTTAGCCGCTCTCTAGGTTTGTGGGGTTAACTCACCAGAAAATTGTGCTACTGTGTGTGCGTGCGTGTGTGTGCCTGTGCGTGTGTGTAGTGCTAGGAGTCCACAGTAAAGGTCTCTTGTCAAGCCAATGCCGTGATGAGGGCATCTCTTAGATTGACCACCCCGAAGCCGAACCCCCTCCAGCTGCTGAGGTGGCAGGCGCAGCCTGGGGTCAGAACGGAGCTGTCAGCGGCACCCCAGCACCCAAGGGACTTCCTCCCTCCTCTGTAAATGTCATGGTGCTAAGATCGTGTCCATCCCAAGATGACACGTGGGCCTGTGCTTTGGCCACCGTTTGAGGCGAAAAACCAAACAGCCCAACACGTTGTGTTCTGGTGCAGGTTTGTATTAAACTGTAGCTACTTCTCACTCGGCCTCTGTTGTGTTTATTCAAGAAGGAGCCCGGCAGAAAAGCCTCCTCAACAGACAGCGGCTGTGTGGCGCTTCGGTTGCTAGGAGAAACAGCTTTGATCCATCACTCTGATCCGGTGGCAGCCCAGACCTTGCCCGGGAGGTCTGGGCAAGGTCTGGAGGTATAAAAATAAAAAGTTTAAAAATAAGCAATTGATGGAAGGGTCATCCCTCTCCCGAGAGCCCAGAATTTCTGATGGTGGAAAAGCAAAAAGTGAGCCAGATTTCCTGGGACAGTTGGCATGTTTTCTGAAGTAGGAAGGGGGAAAAAATTGAGGAGACGTTAGAAATGAAAAGGAGGATCTCGAACCCCCCCACCTAACCTTTGGCACTTCTTTTCCTGGCTATTATTTCGGAAGCCTACGGCCTTCCTTCCATTCAGCAGAAGCTGACGGACTATATCCTCATAAAGATGTAACGGGGTCATCCCCAGACCCCAGTGTGTCTTTGAAGGGCTTTTGCCTGCTCACTAGCTTCCTAGAACCCCACCTTTGAGTCTGTCTGGCCACTGGGCCCTCCAAACCCCTTGGATGCTGGGAGGGATTATCCCATTAAGCTCACACTGAAATGAATGAATAATGAGCTATCCTCACAGCATGTGGACGGTTTCAGCAGGTGGATCATGAGTATGAGGCCAGCCTGGGTCACACATAAAACAGATCTTGTCTCAAAGAGTAAGTGTAACATTCATTTTAGTACTGTGGGGTACCTTGTGCTGATTCCTTAACTCCCTAATGAGGAAGTAATTCTAGATAGTGGAGGAGCATGCACACTGGGAGCTTGGTCTGTTCTACCTATCTGTCCCCAAACTATAGCAAATATAAGGGTTGGGGAAAAGACGCAACCTTTAGTCCCAGCACTCGGGAGGCAAAGGCAGGCAGAACAACAGCGAGACCCTGTTTCAACAAGCAAAAAGAAAAGGCACCCTCACGTGTTACAGGCCGTTTGCATGGCATGAGGCAGTGTACAGACACACACTTGGGAAGACCCTGGATACCGCAATATGTGTACAGTTGAAAAAGAACCACAGGTTTGGACTTGAAGATTGGGATCAGACAGGAAGATCTACAGTCTGGAGAGACTCCGTCCAGTAAGCGCGATGCAGCCATTAGCCGCGATCTCTTAACTTGGAATTACAGGTTATGGGAATACAGGCACAAGTGGCATTGAGAACTATGGGAGGGGCTTATGGAAACCCTGGGTTGGAAGAAGAAACACTGTGATACCGGAAAGGGTAGACATTATTGTACTAAATGATTAAAAACAAAAAAAAAAACATTTTTTTTTTTTTTTTTTTTTTTTGAGACAGCATCTCACTATGTAGCCCAGGCAGGCCTAGAACCATGTAGACCAGGCTGGCTTTGAACCCACAGGGATTAAAGGTACGCACCACTACACCTGGCAATGAGAAGCTTTCACACAACATTGCCAACTAGCAACACATTGAACTTAACACATTCAAAAGTTTAAAGTTTGCTTTAAAAACACCTTGCTCTTCTCAGTGTCTGCCTTTAGCGTGGCATCCGCATCCTGTATGAGCACTGTTTCCTGGCTAGTCACATGGATGCCTTGAAAACTGTATCCTTGAAATGCAAGATTTTCACTTTTTTTTTTATTAGAAGGAAACTCCTTTTGAGACTGGGATTTCTGTGCATCGTTTCTCAATGGACAGACTGACAACATGGTTATAGAAATTAAGGCCCTCCAAGTCCCTCTGAGAGGAAACTCCCTGTAAATCCAAGGTCACCGAACTGAAAACTGACTGCCGCATGCCACTCTACGTGCTTTGGTGACATCGGCTGGCCAGTCCCTCTTGAGTTGCTGGAATTCTTCATTGTAAACTGGCTTGAGTTTGGCGGGATTGATGACCCTGGAGTTCCTCTCTTAATTAGCACCCAGCAGCACCGGCCATGCCACATTCCAAGGCGCCTGAGGGGTTAATGTCACTAACAGACTTCTCAATAAAGGCTTTGACCCTTCACATCCCTGAGGGAAGTGAAGCTACTGGATACAACTCCCAAGAGGACCAGGCATGTTTTGAGTCCCAAGGACAAGATCTTTCAGAGGCAAGGCCTTACATACCTGCTCTTGTGGTAGTGGGTCATCTGAAAGAATTCCTGGTGGCCCAGAAGAGGAACTTCAGGCCCATTGTGGGTATCTTAAGAGTTGCTATGTGGGACTGCTGTTCAGATGTACAACAGGTCTCCATGAGTAAACCATCTGCGACGTGGCCTAGTGATGTCTTTCCTCGGAACACTTTGTAATTCCTCCTTGACACCTGCACTGTGGCTGTGAAACTCCCAGGAATTGGTACCAGAGGCAATAAAGGAATGCTGCCTTCCATTTGTAATTCTGTTCTTCGGATACAACACGTTCATCTGGCGGCATGGTCCTGAGAACTGGTATCCCAGTTCTGTTCATCAAGCAAAGCCATTGCTTTGGGGAATCATACTGGATTACTTGGCGTGAGCAAAGTGGGGTTCCCTTCTATACCCTCGGACTGAAGTTGCTCATCCAGCCCAGTGGCTCCCAGCCAGGGTCGGTTTTGTCCTCCAGGAGATAAGTGTAGGGAATATTTGGATGTCCTTTGGCTGTCTAGCTTAATGATGAAATGAGATCATTGCTTTAGAAAACTGTACGAGGAAATTTAAGAAGAAGAAGGAGGAGGGAGGCAGAGTTAAGTTTATGGAACAACCCTGTATGCAAGACATTCTGGGAAAAAAAAAAAAACCATCATGAACAGAGCTGGACCACAGCATCCCAGTTGCAGTCAGAGGTAGGACCCCAGGGAGTCCTACCATGTTCTTTCCCATGGCTTTACCCGTCAGTCCTCTGCCACCAAGATCAGGAACCATGTTGTACAAGGTCCTGCTTGGCCACTGTGCTACAGGAAACAAAAGGCTGCACATGCGGATCTGAGTGAGGTTCTAGATGCGGAGAGAGGTGACCTGGCACATGGCAGCCTGATCGTTGTCACATCTCAGTTCCTCAACCATGACCTCTACAGACTTTCTTTTATACCTGGGTGTAAACTAAGGCCCTCTCCAGGAAGCATCTTGTGGTCCGTAGGGGAAAGGACCCTTCTGAAACTCAAGGAAGGGTGCTCGGGAGGGGGAATTGGGCTTCATGGCTAAAGCAAAATTCAAAGAGTACGTGAGCCAGACGGTGGTGGCGCATGCCTTTAATC